CGGGCCAAAATTCCCCAGGAGAGCACAGTACTATACAATGACATCCTTGACGTGCAGCCTTGATAATAATAGTATCGCCGAAAGAGGGTCTGCCACTGTATAGTGTTTGGTAAGTCCACTTGAATCCAACCAATCCCACAATGAACCTCTTACCTTGTGGTATTCCCAATACCATTCCATTGATGCTTGCAAATAACCTTGTATCCATCCGATCCAGTATGTGCTGCTGCATTTGTATTGTAAGGCACGTTAATTAAGTGGTCCTGCATTGTAGATCAAACACCATGCATACCATTGAGTCAACGTACAGCGTTCTTGCTTTGATATCAATGTCTTGTTGTTGCTGTCACAGGTACCATCATCCAGCGTATTCAAGCTACAGTAAATGCAATGTAAGGTAACAAGGATAGCATTCGCTTTTCATGTCGACATACCCAAAGTAACAATGTCTCCTTGATGACAACCATGAAAAGAACACACACGACACACGACGCCCCCTTTGGAACTTGTATAACGTGAGAACAGCAACCTACAAGTGAACTTTAGTTTCTCAATGTCCAACTTGAATAATAAAGTAATGCAGCGATTGAACGTACATGTTGTATTGCAATGGAAGCTTGAGTCATGGGCAGATCGCGCGCGTACTTGTTGTAGAATGCCTGCAACTGGACAGTGTCGCCATTAACCACATGTTCACCCCAAACGCGCTGTACATTGTAAGGAATGCCAGCTGTTAACACGTTGTAGTTTGTAAATGGAGACAGCTTACCTTTTTTGTGAAGTGGGAGTGAACAAGAAGGGGCTCTTTGTCGTTCCTACCACTTCCCAATTTGTGCACTCCACGCCGCCCCGCTTGCTACAGCTATTACTGTTTATACGTACCTCATCAATATCCTATACTCTTAGCTCAATAAGAATGCTCACTCCTCAAGACTTCAATTGAGAACAGCCCTCGTAATTAAGCTATTTGGTCTGTGCGCATTCATCAGTCGATTAGTTATGCAACTCCCCTCCTGAACCAACTTGTGCAACCTATTGTGTAACCTCCTACCAAATATATGATGTCCATTCCCTTCAATGCAGAAATAACCAAGTGATCCACAATTTGCACATCTGAGCTGATTGTACGATCCCCAAAGTATTATGTTGAATCCAATTTTCATCCAATAAAAAGTCGAAGAGCACGTACCAGCACACGGTACTGTGGATGTTTATCGAGCAAATATGATAAAAGAACAGCATTGAATAAGAAGCGGGTGGATCACATAGAGGGAACAGGGATAATTGTGCCATTCTATTCTTGATTGCTGCCCCCATGATCATTCTTCATCCATGTTTGCAAAATAGATGCTGTATACTTTGGCTCGAGTATTCCAATATCATCCGTAGCTGTGAAACTCCTTCCTTCGTCAAAGGTATAAAGCCCTTTTGTCACTTCCTCCAATCCATCATCATCCTAAGTCGTATGCATATGGTATGATTCATCCTTCTGACAACGCGACAAATAATCCTTGCCTTGATTGAACCCATCCGCCATAATCACTACAAATCCAATGTTGGTAGAAAGAAGCCCCAGAGATCGTTGCTGATACGTTCCCTTTCCCATCGACCCTTGGTCACCCTCTTCGTGGTTCACTTTCCATCGCAGCTCAATCAGTTGAAGACTGCTTGTATTACGGCGTCGTTGGTGGCTGATGGCATGTCATCCAAACTAGACATCACGTGTAAAATGGGCCAACAAGGGAACAAAACTAGTCAATAGATCCATTCCTTCCATCTCATGTACCAAAGTAATACAGTATTCAGACCCATATCCATATCCATAAGAAGTCATATGTATTGAAGCAAGTTGCTACACGTCAATAAAGCTGCTGCTCCTCTATGATGGCTATCTGCTGTTCACGGAAAAAAGCTGTAAGACACGCTTGCAAGTAAAGAACGCTGTTGGGTACGATGGAGTAAAGAGCTTGCTGATAGCAACTACTGCATTGAATACTGTACATTGGATTGTGCCAGGGAAGCGCGCAAGAGTGTGTGTGGTGTCGAGAGACTCGTGTGTTGTAGAAGAGTGACAAGAATGTGTACAGGCCATCAACTTGCCTCTCGGTCCAAGACAATCGGATAAAGACGTTCGTAGGACGGACGTGATGGGTTGAAGCAGGACAATCGTTCGCAGGTGGTAGTTGTGCTTGAATGCACCAGCAGTGAGAATGGGAGAAAGAGGCAAGAAACAGGGAGTGGAAGACCTTGAAATTAAATAGATTTTTCTGATGCTTGGGTGACGTTTCTTTGTTAAAGCGCTGCACAGTCAACCGCTCTGGGATCAAGAAAGTTGAAGGATGAGAATG